TGTATTTCTGTGTAACTCATAATTTATTTATTATTTATTTCTTTAATTGTGGTAATGTGTCGTATTAATATGTTTAGTATACTGTTAAGACTAATTTATTGATACATATAAATATTAATAATTTTATGATGATTAAGATTTATTTATATTAAATTTTATTATATTTGATAAATATTATGATATTTATAATTTTTTGTTATAAATTTGAATTATATTTTACATGTATATATTTAAATTTAATTGTTTTAATTATGTTAATTGTATCAATCATCTATTAATTTTATTAATCGTGTTAATTATATACATAAGTTATAAATAGTATAAATTTTAATTGTGTTAATCATATCGTATTGTATAAATTTAATCTGATATAATTAATAAACGTGTTAATCGTTTTGTGTTATATATTTATTAAACATATTTATGTATGTATTTAATATTTTAATATAATTAATTAATTATATCGTGTTCATGTTTATCTATATAACTATTAATACTCTAAGTTAAGACACGAAAATAAAAATTATCAAATCTATTTTATGTATTAATCAAGTTTTTAATTGCAAATGAGGGTAAAAAATTAAAATGTGTTCATTTAATAATTTATTTATATATCAATTTTTCCGAACACATTTCAATGGGACACTCGTCTTGTGGAATCTGAAAACCTTATCACTAGTTTATAGGATTTTTTTATTAGATTACTAATCTATGCACCCACGATGGGTTTTTTATTCCATAATTAGCATGAAATGTTGACAGGTGTCAATTTAATAATTAATTTATTATTAACTGTTATAAATATATTTTACCTAATATTGTTTGTAGAGTTTTAAAGACTCCACCATCAAAGTTTATGATAAATTTTTCTTCTTGAACTGTTATTCATGGACAGTAAAATTTTCAAATTTTATAAATAAAATTAAAAAATTATTATGCATTTATTTAAAAACTGATTAATTTATTAATTTTTATAAATGTTATCTTAATCGGTAACTTGTTAACTCTTAGCTTCGTTTGTGGAGTTTAAAAACTCTGAATTGAGAGTATATGGTAATTTTCTTATTAAGTAACTGTTATTCTGTAAAATCTCTTTTTATTGGAGTTTTCACTTATGGGGTGCTGGGTGAGGGACGTGACGCACACATGCTTGAGCTAGGTGGGGATGCCGTGGCAGAGCAAACCACGTAATGTAATAAAGAGAAAAGCCTTAATAAGTTAAAAGGTACCTCTTTTTCCCCTTTAACTTTACCACCGCAATTTTAAAAGAAAGAAAGAAAAAACACACTGTGAGGCTGAAAAATGGAAGCACAATGGCATCAACCATCCATGCAGCGCATGTCATTCTGAACCAATTTTCTATCTTATCTTTGCCTATGATCTCAACTTTAATGGACAAATAATAATAATAATAATAAAAATAAAATATGAACATATGCCTTTTTCTCTGAGCAAGAGAGTATCAGAGTATATTCTTGTGTATATCCCTCATTTGCACTCACAGGTAACCTATCGAAGCACTTTATGCTAGCATAAGAGACTTTAATTTACCACTGGAGAGGCAAGTAAGGAGTAGCATGGCTGCTCCTGTACGTTGTGGCTTGCAGGAGTCTTGGCTAGATGCATGTTCATAGATCTTTCACAATTTGTTTTTGTCCACTGGCTTTGGTTATCTGTAGGATAGAGCTAGAAAAGCATATGAGGATCAATGGTGGGTGTATTTCGCATTCTTAATTTGTTATGATTAGTATTACTTAAAGACAGTTTTTACATCATTAATCATGCATGCATGTGCTATCTGCTATACATGTCAGGGTGGTGCTCCCAGACACTTGAGAAATCACACTACGAACCAGGCGCATTCATTTTCTAAAGGGCAATTACTCCAATTAAAAAAACACTATGTATGCTTAAATCTTAATGTACTAAAGTAATTATAAAGTAATAGCCAAGGAACCAAAGCAAAACAGTTGTGTGTGAGGATATACACACAATATGCTTTTGAATAAGAATATTCTATTGGAAGGGAGGAAAAGTTAAACAAAGTAAAAATCTCCTGGTCCTTGGCTCAGACAGAAGAATCAAGTTATCGAGACTATGTGAATTGAACTGACATTGTTATAGATACATACTAGTACAATATGAAAAATCTAATTAAGGGACCCCCGTCCTCACTGCTTTCACACCATGTAAAGTATTGCTCATGGAAAAGGTGACAAAGAAAAATACAAGTGAGATATGCTGATGCATATATGCTCCTTATTATTCTGACTAAGATAACAATTTAATTACACAATTTTTTTTTAATTACTTAGCAAAGTACAAAACGAGAAATCCATGTATCTGTTTCAATTTGTAAATACACTACACCTCGATCGATGGTTAGGATAGGGAAGGAGGTAAGAAATAAGGGTAGAGGATTTGTTTGGATTGTTGAATATCGTCAAACAAATATACGTTTTAATCTTTTTGATCAGCTCCTTGAATTGCCTCATTAATTATCTTCTTTCTAACAAGAAACAAGAACTAACTTAGGTGGTTAGGTTAATTCACGTGCATGGACCATGATTAAAGTCATCGTTATCAGGGACCCCTCAACTGTTAAATGCTCAACCAAGAAATTGTTTTGCATTAATTCATTTTAAACAAGGTGTGTGTGTCTTTTCTACGCTTAATTCTTCCAGGCTGTATCCAAATTAAGGTGAAATCGAAGATGTCCAGTGATGCGGATAACTGATCAGTACAACACGTGATGTAAATGTATCAATTTCCTCTCAGCTTCAATTCTGGGACATCTAAAAGCCGGCAGACAGGCCATGGCTTGGGTACCAACAGATCAGTTTGTGAGTTCCACAACTTTTGAATAAATAATTGTTCAACAACGGTACTTTCTTTCTCATTTTCAGAGGGTACATTATTAAGTTGTGGCATGTACAAGGGAAAAGATAGCTACCGACAACGTTGGCAATCTGGTATATGTGGAAATCTAATCCAAAAGTTGTGGAAAAACAAATGGTTGTTGGAATATTTAACTGGGAAGCCTTATGGATAACCAATTTGTCCGGAATGGCCTCTCTCTATCACGCCATAGGTACTCTTAAGGAATCAGATTCTTCTTGAAATGTTCATGGAACTTTTATTTAGAAAAAGGTACAAGCCATATAGGCATTCATTGCCGTTGCCACTGCCATTGCCAACATAGCACTTTCTAGGTTTGTGAATGTTTTGGCAACATCTCTTGTTTCTTTCCAGAAAACTTCCCAAGTCCATGTATGGACAAACAATTCTTGGGCGCTAGATCGTTTTACACCTTTTCAACTTTACTATCCACTTTTACCATACTTAGTACTTGCTCGATAAAATCTTTGATGCAAAATTTACAACAAATTAAGGCCTTCCTATTTCTATCAAATATCTTACTATCATGCATGGCTAGATGAACTCTTTGGTGAATCTTTATCAATGCTTAACGCAAACAAGATGGAGGAGTCAGATTCTCCATGAAAGAAGTGGAATCAGGTTCTACCCTTTCACTAGAGCATACAGAAAAGAGAGGCTCCTATATATTCTCCAGTAGTTGGGTGGGGGAAATGCAAGAAACTATCAGTATATCCCCTAGCTCGTTTCAGCACCTAACATTGACTGCTTGTGGGAGCTTATAAAGTTGGAACCCCTGTCTTGTATGGAGGGTATGTGTCACTCTTGTGCAAGCACTTGTCATGAAACCACTTATTCTGTCTAAAGAAACAAGAATATATACATATATGGGGTTATATTCAAGCAAGGCCACATCCAACTAACAGCCACAAACATAAAATTACAAATTCTCGACATCAGTCAATGTATTCTACACCGTTCAATTCCATTGAGATTTTACATCATTCTAAGCTGATGCAGACAAGTTTGTCCTTTTAAGGGTGGTCCAGACAAAAGTATCCATCACCCAAGCTACATATAGAGGCCCACTTATCAGATGAGGCAGAATGTAGATTATTACATGCATGTCTCTTTTCAAGGGTTAATGATTCCTTTCATTCAAGTGCAGATAAGTGATTCCTCCTCATGAGGCCAGGTTTTTCTGAATATGCTTTGAAGGAAATTTCTAACTTATGAATATGCTGGGAGTAATTCACTATTCATATGCTTAAATGGGTCTAGTTTGAGAGTCATGCAAAAGATGGTAGCTTCTAGTTATCTTCAAGAATGAGAATCAGAATGTGGACACTTTCCCTTTTTACGGCACGCACGTACTAACCTACATCATCATAATTCATGGTTGAGGTTGACCCAGCACCCACCGAGACCTCAGCATTTTAGATGTTCTGTGTTCTGACTCGGATTGACGGTGTCTGCACACAAAGAAATCAAGAGTTGGATAATGATAGGTGTGACTCCATCGGTCTTTGGTGGTAGAAGCGAGTGAGCAATTTGTTGCTGATTATACAATGAACTCAAGTTGGGCATAGTCCAACACAACTCTAGGCATGAACTACTCCAATTTAGGCTAAATCATTCTAGCAGGATAACCAATTCCCAAGGCATCGCAGTCTTTGAGTTCATACAACAAATTCTCATTTTATGTTCATCATTAGGTCCAATAACTTTTTCCTAGAGAAGAAAGTTTGATTGGTAAGATGGAAAAATAGAAAATTACAAACAATTAGTGTTGATTGATAAGACAACGTTTAAAATGCGAGGCTGCCACTGTCAAGAGCAAAATTGACCGAAAGAAACAGAGTAAAAGAAACGGAGAGAGAAGTTTAGATTTAGAATCAATATGGGTAGAAAAAAAAGTATGTGAAGTGGGAGCAATTAACGTGTTTGAAGAAAAGCCAAGAAAAAAAAAAAAGGGAGTAAGATGAATAAGCCACAACATTTCTCATAAATCACACTGAACCTTGTAAACCTATCAACAAGCCTTATGATAAGGATGTTGTTGATGTCTTATTAGTTTTTAAACAAGTGATGATTAATCCCACAAAAGAAGTTGACAACTGAAGGTTAATATTTTGTTGTTCATCATAACATTTCAAATAAGATTTAAGATGATCCTTGATCAATATGCTATTATTGAAGGGGACAAAGAAGACAAAAAAGAGCAAAAAAAAAAGAGTAATATAAGTAATGACGTATCATGCAAGAACATGGTCCAAATGGACAACAGTAAAACTAAACACAGTTATCCTAAGCATTCCCCTAGCAAGGCAGTGGCCTTATCTTGCAAGATTTTCCATGCTGCATTCACATGCTTCTCTTCAGTCAATGGGGCACCTACAGCAAACCGCAGTATGTATTTGCCTGATAAAACCTGCAATTATCATAACTGATGCTCTTAGATAATGTGCTGCCACACTCACAAAGAAGTGAATCCCACATTTCCTTTCTTTCTTTATTTTTTCTTGGAGAAAGAACAACACACAAAGAGCACACGATCATGTATCAGCACTTCAGAATGATATATATGATGTAGACAGCAAACTTACCGTGTGAGATATGAAGACCTTCCCAGTTGAGTTTACAGCATCTAATAATTCATGGTTCAATTTGTTACCATGATGTTCATCATCAGAAGGCAAAAGACGAAAACAAACTAATGAAAATATCCGAGGAGTGACAACCTGCTCAAATGAGTTATTACAAGTGATCCATCACTAAGATTGCATTCATTCACATAAAATAACTATAGAAATCGACCTTTTTTATGGGAAAAAAAATCAAGAACATCAATGAGAATTATCATTTTCCTAAGGACAAGGTTCTTTTCTGTCTCCTGTTCATGTAGTTCCATTAAAGGCTAAATACGGAAAAGAAATACCAACACGGTATCATGCCAAGACCAACTCAAGGCAAGTCGTTTCTTATTTTGGCATTATATTAGATGGTTTGCAGACCAGCTAATTGGCAGAGTCCTAACATTTTCAGAAAGCATTGAGAAAGCAATTTGCTAGTCAGAAACAATGGCATCTTTAGACAACTAATCTCACATTGTTAAGCATAATATTCATGGACTTAGCATCTAATGAAAAGGCACTAAATTGCACCCTTAAGCAAATGTGAACAGAGCCATTTCTATGTCCACTGCTTTAGTGTGACATTCTAAGGTGCAACCTGATTAGCATGTAATACAACTATAGCTGTGGTTTCTATTTGTTACGTAGGATGTACTAGGCTAAGAAATAAGAGATCAAGGATGATTGGTTTAGTTTTTTTTTTTAACTAAACAGATCAAACATGCCTGATTATAATTACAGTGCTTGCATAATGTTACTATCATGAACTTCTACTGAAAACATTGAAATGGCGCTCATACAGGCTAATATCATGCTACAAGGACAGACTCCAGCACTCTGGTTTGGGAAAGGCCCTAGACAGCAATTGTCGGAAGGTTTAATATAATAAGACGTTACATTGTTCATCTAAAAGAAAATAAAAAATGAACTGTTCGATCATTTCATGTACTTGTCAGCATATTTTTTCCAGTCACAGTGACTACTTTCATGTATGCATCCTCAAGGGGGTTCTCAAGATCTAATCAACACAAAATTCAGTAAGCAATAACTGGTGCCTTGAAGAAATTTCTTAATGGCAACATACTCATATCTTCATCAATTATATTAAAGAAAATAGAAAATTCAAGAAATTTAAATGACTCCTGGTTGTATGGAAGAAAGGGAAAAAAAAAATGCTTTTGTGACATATAAGAGCTTTTATGGCCGGATAATCAACATCATAGAGAGCATAACTACCTGAAATCTTGAGTCTTGAGTAATCAGGTCCTCAAAATGTTTGGCTAACTTGATATGATTTCTTATATAGCACTGCAGGTTTTCCAGGCCATACAGTCGTAATACCATCCATAGCTTTAGTGATCTGGAGGCAAGCAACAGATTAGTGAGGAATTTGTTCTAGTTGATAAAAAATAAAGCTATTTTTCTTCTGCTTTTTTCTGTTAATTTAATTTATTTAATTGAAAAATAGAAAAATGTTAACAGTGTTTAGAACTCAAAGCAGAAAATATCCTTCAAGAAAAAAACAAAAAAATTACGAACTACAGGACATACTCTTCCCTTCAAGTAATCATCTGAAACAAACAAATGCTCATTTTAAATGGCTCTATAAAAACATTTTTATCTCAAGGATAATGTTGAAAAGCATACCTAAATCGACGTCCAAGAGGAATTTGCCAGTCTTTGTAATCTACAACCATGTTTGCTTGAGAGGCCTGAAATTGGTTGCATCGTGAAATTTCACACATAAGTAGACTCACTAGCAACTTTTAACCTTGATTATAATAGTCTCCCAATTGTTAAGGTTTGATTAATTGCTCAAATAACAAGGGGAAAAACGACCAATTTTATTAAAGTTGTTAATACTATGATAAAAACTGCAGCATGGAATGAAGATCAAGCTGTAAATATATGCATAAGCACTAAACAAAGAGGCAAAGGCACCAGTTCTTTTGAGGAATGTTTCTTGATTCTAATAGATACAGTGGAATTTGAAGATGGTCATTAGCCAAATAGACCCCTATTTTAAACATTTGAATGAGTAAAGTAATCTCTCATTCAATTCACATACTTTTCCCATTCCTCTCCTTTTATCTTCACATAACACTACACTTCAGAAAACTAACTGCCACTACCCTTTTTCCTCAACATTTTTCTCTTTCCCTAAAAGACATTTAACTTGTAACTACTGGAATTTTTTTTTATAATTTTTCAATACACTTAAAGATTTAAATGTACTAGTACTAGTAATTCTTGGAATACGTAAAGCATAGAAAAAAAAATTCATGTTTTTACAAACAACATGGAGTGTTCTAAATCATGTGAACCAGATTAGCTAGGATGGTAAAAGGCTTCATGCCACTCATTTTTAAATTTCAGACTCCACAGGTTATAAATCAATGTGGCTGGCAGACAAGCCGTCCTACGTTGGCAGATAAATGAGTGCACACTAAAAACCACTTCATGGATGAAATCAACAACACCAAAAGAAAACTAACCTTATTCTTGAGATACTCTGGATTTGTGGAGAGGGCCTGAACCAATGCCCTTCTATCCTGTGGCAGCAAGTAACGATGTAATACAAGCATTTAACAGAAATAGAATTTGCTAAAACATGTTAATGAAATTGAGTATTATTACAACATATTGGTGAGATAGTTTTGCTAAGTTCATGCATCTAGAGTACACATCTATCTGTTAAAACTTATTGCGCTGGTTAATGAGTCTAACCACTCAACTCAAAAACCACTCACATCAGGTGTTGGCCTGGTAAATAAACCACTTGTACAGATTGCATGTCTATTGTTACATGAAATTCAGCAAATTTTGCAGTAATTTATCATTGAGAAACTAGAAAAGCAACTATGAAAATGATCATGTACATTAATTAGATCTTTAACCTACATAGATGCAGAGTGAACATAGTAATGAAGTTGATTTTGTTGTTGTTGCTACATTCAAACAAGTGGCGTACCTTTACCCAGAGTGCTGAACAATCAAAATTAGTTAGAAACCATTTATGTGCATTCATGTTAAAAGAATCAGCTTCTTCCACGCCATCAATGTAATGACGGAATTCTGGACACACACAAGCACTTCCGGCATATGCAGCATCCACATGGAACCACATACCATTACTCTGTCCAGAAGCCAAGCATGCAAGCATTGTTAAATTGTCTTGCCTTCAAGGTTTATTGAGTAATAAAAATGTATCATAGAATACAAACTTCCTGGAGATAGTCTTTTAGGGGTTCTTTGTATAAAATCTCTGTGAATAACCTACAATTACATTTTCCAGAAAATCGTTTTTGTTCATTTTAAATGCTTGGACTCGATTTTCAGTCCACATAGCAGGCCTTATCAAGAATCATGAAAATGATTTTTATCTTAGGACTGTTGACAGAATTTCAAGCCAACAATTTAAACAATAAGTGAAGGTGCTTAAGATTTAAGCATCAACCAGTCAAACGCACAAACTTTATACAGGTCCAGATTCCAGAGCATATTTCCTCCTCATATTTCTCACAATTGCATTGGATATGTTACCTTGGCAATCTTTCCTAGAGCAAGCAAAGAATCAACGGCTGTTGATGAAGTAGTGCCAACCTGCACATATAAATGAGCTACAAAAATAGGAGATATTGTTCTAACTGGCTTCATGCTGAGTGAAGTAAAGGAAATGTGCTACAAAAATAAGCATCTCAAAATATCCCTATGAATTATTATTTTGGGAAAAGAAAAAAGGAAAAAGTACATATGATGTAACAAAAGATGGAAAGAAGCTAACATCAAAAGCTTTTGCTTTCTTACAGTAGCACATAGAAAGAAAGGAATCAATCCATGAGCAAGGTCTTGTGAAATTGTTTCACTCAGTAACTCTGGTGAAAGTGCATAGTTAGTAGAAGAGTTTGCTTTTAACAGCCTGCAATTCTCAGGATGGATTCCTCCTATCTGCCATTGAATGATAAGCATGTAACTCAATTAGCCTACATAGATGATGGCAACATGAGCTTTATGAAGTAGCTAAGCAACATACACAAATCAAGTAATCCAGGCACCATGTGAACATTATCTGAATTTCATTGATCTCACAAGCAGGAAGAAATATCTTTCAAGAATGATTTCAATGTTCTAAGAGAAAAAATATATACATGAATAAAGAAATAAAACTAGACATGAGCCCCAATTTACAAGGATACCTGACAGGCTTTTTGCAAGGCAGCATGTGTTTGATCAGAAGCGTAAACTACAAGCTTTCCAAGTGCACCCTTTCCAACCGCCTTCAAAACCTTGTCACGAGCAGCCAATAGAACAACTAGAACAGCTTCACTCGCTGTGCCCTGTATCACACCGCCACCTTGTCCTTCAACACAGTCACCGAGCTTATTCCATAAGTTTTAGAGATATTTTGATTCTTCCATTTTGATATAGCAAGAAGAAGAATTACGATCCCTGGTGATGCTAGAAATAATTCAATGAAAATTCCCTAGGCCTAGTATTGCATTCTATATCAGAGTTTACATCGAATCCTTACCTGCTGAAAGGAAGTCTTCAGGTAGCTTAAGCATCTTACCAAGCCAGTCTAAAACAATCATTTCAAGCTCTGTTGCAGCAGGGGATGACATCCAACTGAAACCAACAATATTGAGACCAGCACTGAGCATTTCTCCCAAAAATCCAGCAACGCTGCTATTAGAAGGATAGTATGCAAAATAATTTGGGCTCTGCCAATGAGTAACCCCTGGCAATATCTTTGTTTGAATGTCTGCAATAACAAGAACAATTTTGCATGAAAAGAATATTCAAGGTTTCCTATGAAAAATGATAAATAAGTAGATCAATTAGTCAGGAGAATACATCCAAATCACATCGCCATATAGCCAAAGACTTGTACTTTTTATTGTTACCCTTTACTTCAACACTTTGCTATGTTATTATCAGGTGATTAAATTAAATTCAGGAATCCAGTTGAACAACTTTACCATCAAGAACATGCTGAAATGAGTCTGGTTGATTAGGTGCAGAATCTGGCAACAGATTACGAAGATATCCGGGCTGCATAGAAATGATCACAAATAAACAGGACCAACTAAGAAAAATCACTTCAATACCAGATAATCAGATTATTCCATGTATTAAACAAGAGAAAGAGAGAGAGAGAGAGAGAGAGAGAGAGAGGAGCATCTAAACCCATTCTGACTTTTGACATACACTTACGTTAGCCGACGAAAGCATACAAAAAGCCAGTAAAGAAAAAGGACGTTAGAGATATATATAAAGACCTCAACTTGGCTGAGAACAGGAAAATTCTCAATGGTTTTGTAATAATCAGCAATGAAATCAACCATCTTGTGACCATACTCTCTCAGCTGTTCCGCATCCATTGGCTTCAATCTGTTCTCCCTGTCAGTCCATTCACATGCACATGCAAGCAAAACTCAATAAACAATCAACAACAAGAACATCAAAAACATTAACAGAAAAAAAAATCAGTATCATCGGCATTAAAATGATGATTAAGTGAGCTGGGAAACTTACATCTTAGGTTTGTTGAGCAAAGAAGGAAGACAATATTTGGGGGGTTCAAGGGGGAAAACAATGTAGATTTAAATATCTCGAGACCCATCAGGTAACTACCAATGCTCTATAACTACTCCACTATGAATGGAATGGGACCCAAGGGAGGATAAAATCCGTGAAACTGTCCTTCAAGCCTCAAACTCTATGGCTCCACTGACCGTTCGCTGAACTCCTCTGACCAAAAATAAATAAGACCGTTTGTTGAAGAACGTGGACTCTGACCAACAATAAAAAACGAACGTGGACGCAGAAAATCCCATGGCAACTTGTCAACTGCCAAGGACAAAAGGGCTCTGGTTGTTAAGTGGGTTCGGTTGATAGGCCGAATTGGTTAAAAGAGCTCGCATTTACGTACAGGGTCTTCCGCCCATGGAGGTCGCCAAAGACAAATGGTTTCTTTTATTTTCTTTTTTCATAAAATGAGCTACAAGTACAAGGCTCATTGTTGATGCACGCATCCAATAAGGTAAGGGTGGAATTTCACCGATTATAAAGAGTATTTTGGTCTGATTTTTTTAACTTAAAAGTTATTGTAAAGTTTTTATAAAAAATAATAATTTTTAAAATTAAGTTAAAACTGTTTGATAAATTGTTTAACAATATAAATTATATAAACTCTAATTTTCGTTAAAATTATCATAAATGATATTTATATCATCTTCAATCACATAATAAATTATAGTGAAATTGCTTCAAGTTTATATATGATTTTAGATATTAAAATTAATAAAATCAAAAAAATCAATAAAAAATAGAACAACTCTTAAATTTGTATAGTAGGAATAGTATTAGATTTTTATTGAACTAACAAGCAATCGGGCCATGATGCTTCAATATTCAAAAAAGAAGAGAAAAGAGGAAACAGTGTATTTAATATTAAAATCCTTTTAGGTGAAGAAGAGAGAAAACCTTTAAATGGTACCTGAATATAGTTTTAAATTTTGCATTTTCATTTCTCTTAATTTTTGTAAGAACAAAAAAATTTTAGATTTTGCTATTCTATTGTTGGGTCTTTTATTTTTTTTTCTTGGTAGTTTTTGTAGAAAGAAGTAGAGGAAAGGGAAATCACAATTTGTGTTGGAGAATGGTAATTTGCAGAAGGAAGGAAAGGATAGGGAGATTGATTAAGAGAGGGGTACTTCTTGAAAAATTAACGTGTTTAGAAAAAAAGAGAAGAGAAAGCTCTTCCTTGAAGCTTTTCTTTAAGCTTTTTTTTAAAATTTTATTCTTTGAAAAAAAGCTACTTTTTTTTAAGAGTTTCTCAAAAATTATATTTGATCTGACTTTTACTTTTAAGAGGTAGATAAGTTGAAAAAAGGTTAGGCTAAACAGGCTTTAAAACAAAAAATGGATAATGAGAAGAAATCACCAAGAAATAATGAATGAGAGAGAATAAGGTTAAGAGAGGAGGGAGGCTAATGGTGGAGGCTAGGGAAAAGGAGATGGAGAAGCGTGGATGGTAGAGGATCAATAGTAAAAGATGAAGAAATAGGGAAAAGAAGAGAGAGAAGTGAGTGTCGATTAGTGCTAGCATTGAGTCGGCTTCTTCTAGTCGACATTGCTTTGCTGTAGAAGTTGGATTCTTTGCTTTATCAGCCAAACAGCCTCCACATATTAGAAATGGAAGAGAGTTAAAAATGTAAATAAAAAAAGAAAAGAAATAAAGGAAAAAGGGTAAAGGGAAAGAGAGAAATGAAAAAGAATGAAATAAAATAACTAAAAAATTATTATCAGTAGTTTCAATGACATAATAATATTTTTTTAAAAAATATTAGTATTGATAATATAAAATAATATTTCAAGAGGTAATTAGGGAAAATAAATTACAAGCAAAGAGAAAGAAATAAACGGGAAGAAAAGGAAACAATGGAGAGAAAAAGGAAAAAATTTAAGGGATTAAGAAATTAAAGAATTAGTCATGCACAAGAAATAAAAAATAATAAAAATAAAAAAATTATGAGCTCGTAAATAAGATGTATCTATCATCATATCCATACCTTTTCATATGTAAATAGTCATAAAAAATCAATTTAATACAACTTTTTCTTTAAAAAAAAAACATAGAACATAGTGTAGGCGCCACGAATATCATAATGAAAAGAGATAAGATGGGTCGTAAGCTTATAAATAAGGTTTTTTTACCTAATAAGTATATTTTTTAGATTAAAAATGTGAGCATGTGACAAGTGCTATTAATAACTATATTATATAAAGTTGTTTTGTCACATTTTGGGTGCTTAACTAGTTAAGTCATTGAGATTTTAAGTTTGAAATTAACTATTTTAGTTGTTTTCATTAGTTAAGTTCAATGCATGTTGCGTAGTTTAGTTTATTTTAAGTTAAATTATTTTAATTTACTTTAGCTTTAGTTATTACGGATCTTTTTTATTACTTTTGTAGGAAATTTGATTAAAAGACCTTATTTGGTGATAATCCATGCAAGTATAATGATAGCTTCGTTTGTATATGCTGTAGTATTTTGAGCATAATTTTTCTCGTTACAGAAGTCCAATTAACGTTATTCTTGAGCCATTAGCTCGTGGCTACAAATTTCATGTTTACCACTTTTCCAATTCGGATTAGATCAAGGTGAAAATCCATTGGAATAGGCTAAGTTGCTATAGTTTCTGCAAAGGCAACATGAGAAAACAAAGGCTGCAACCTCGGAG